AAAGTTGCGCATTTTGATGTGACGTCACATTTCTCAAACCCTCCCCACCTCGTCACACATCGTCACAAATGTCTGACCCCCCCCCCCCCCCGTAGGTGCGTGACGTCATTTATGGACGGCCCCAAAGCAGGGTTGAGCCTGAATAGTGATTGAACGGGCGGTCATCAACAGGTTTGCTATCGGCTGCTGTGGGACTACGTTGCCAGCAGAACGCAGTGGAGACAAATCAATTGTTGTGCTGTACTTTGCTTCAACATCTATGATCCCCCGCCTACATCATTAACCCGCACAGCCCTTTTGTCAATCCACTGCTGGATGAAGGCCTCTTCCACGGGGGTTGTTTGACCATACTTCACCACGCTGGTCACTGCAGTTCGGTGAAAGGGTAGTGGGGGTTGGGAGCGGCTGGGTGGAGTTCCCTAGAATCGGTTCTCAGATATCACGCGCCACTCATGTTAGTCAGAATCAGACTCATGTCGGGTGCATAGTAGCGTGGTGTGAAAACCACTGCGCTAACCCCTCCACTTAACAATAATAACACACGTGTTGTGTGATCTATGGAGGCACACACTGTACTAGTAGGCAACACGTTTATTCCATAACGCCAACAGGGTCACTGCGTAACTATCACTGGTTAACTGAACCACAACGGGTTTCAAGACTGAAACGACGACCGAAGACCGACGAGTTGATTCCACAATGCAGCCGCGATTGCTCTCCGACCATCCCTCTTATCCTCCCGAGCGTGGCCTCGCTCCGCCTCCGGGCACGCCCCCCTCTGGATCTTTCCAGAAGGATCTGGCGTCAGTGTCACGTGTCCCTCAAGCCCCATTTTTGGGCCCCCTTGCTACCCTGTGCCAGTCACGTGCCCTCTCAGTTTCACCCAACGGCCACGTCCTCATGTGTCCTCTCTCTCTACCCGTCAACAGGACGATGTCCTCTCGGGCCCGCTTCCCTGCCTTAACTACGCCAGTATCAGGGAGAGGCCGAGAAACCCAAATCCGGGCTTGTGACCCTAGATGGCGCCCACGCCATAGTGACCCTATTACCGTCTCGACACACGCCTGAGATTACATAAGACACGGCGTCACGCGATGAATCCAACACAGAATTGGCCAAGTATGGGCTTACGAGTCGCATTTGCTCACGTTCATTGCCTCGGGGCATTGGTGAACGTGGCTGTACAATTGCACACCGACGGTGTTGGTGTCACCCCCGCGAACACGATGAGTCGATTGATAATATTGATTATAAATCGACTGTCATGCACACAAGTCCGCACGTGTTTGTTCAACAGAACAGTCGACACGCCAGTCTCTCCTCACATCCCATCAGCCGAATGGCCTTCTGGGTATCCGTAACTTATCAGCAGAGTTGAGTCAGTACGAGCAAAACTCTGGACCGGTTTCCACATCCAGCGTCTCATCGGCAGAGTTGAGTCAGTCCAAACAAACACCTCTGGACTGGTTTCAAACAGTCTGTTAAGCCTATACGGGGGATCTTTGTTTTTTTAGTGGTCTTTGTGGGTAGATTTGTAGAACTGTACTGACACTGGGCAAACGTGATGGGGTGCGCCTTACTTTCCAGGGCCTCTTATAACCGGAGGAACAGGTAACTCCCAAGATCGCGAGATAAGGCGGTGATTTGACGAGGCCTTCATTCAGCAGTGGATATATGATGGCTGATGATGATAATGACGTGCTCTGAGCGGCGACGCGACGCACACCAGTGACCGAAGGGCTGGTGGATCACGGAGAGATTTCCGAAAGTGCTCAGCTCCCCCGAGCTGATAACTGGCCAGTCGATGAAGGTGTGGGGGGTAAGCGGGTTCGTGAATCAGTCCGTGCGGAGTGGGTTCAGTCCGGTTGCTACGGATTCCTCGCACGCGAAGCCAAACTCCCCATTACAGGAACGGAATTGGCCAAACATGTCAATGCGGCAGGACCCTCCTGAACAGAGACGCTCGAGGCTGCTCAGTGAAGCGTCCCTATGGTGGAATTGTGGCACAGTGGTTAGCGCACTGCACTGTGAACATCTGCGACCTGAGCTCGACTCCTGGATACGGCAAAAAATCAGTGGCGAGCGATGTTTTGAATGGTCCTGCCCCCCCCTCCCCCCCATTAACTTCACCAATCTGCACTGAGACCAGCGTGGTGAAGTAAGACCAAGTAACCCCCATGACTGACCAAAACCTCACGTCATAAAAACAATGTCTTCCCATCCGCTGTTGGCCTCTTCAGCAAGGCCAAGGGTTTAAAATGACTTTTACACTTACTTTAACATTTTATCTACAAAATTACACCTTGCCATCTTTACAACATGTTACCCTATTTGTATTTTTGTATTTTAAGATTGTATCTTACGGCTAATTTACATTTTATATTGTATATTTATGAAATTTTTAAAAATATTTTAGCCCCTTAGTATTAGTTAGACTGTGTAACTTTAGTATAGTTAGACTGTATACCACTTATTTAAGTTTTAAGATTCCTACATGTTGAATGTATGCACCTTCCTGCCATAGTAAATTCCTTGTCTGTGCGAACTTTCATGGCGAATAAAACCTTTCTGATTCGGATGGCTGTCCATGATAATGATGCGAGCTGTACTGGGTTCATGTCACCCCTGCAACCGCTAGAGGCGCTGTCATTAACCGCGATGGCGAAGACACGGAACGAATCCGTGAGTCGAATTGCTCAGATAGACAATCAAAAATCGAAGTGATTTTCTGCCGCTCAAGTGAGCATTGAGGCATTGTTTCTCTTGTCCTGATTACAGCCCTGAGCCATTGGTGGACATCCCACATTCCCATGGCGGGGGCGAGTCTCTCCATAGGACAACCACAGTGTGCAGACTTCCCTGCAACGTGGTCCCGAATTGTATCGACCCCCCAACAACGTGGGCTGATGAGTGAATCACAATCACAATCCGATGATCTATAAAACCTCTTTTTCCACAGATGTCGAATCCGAGCGGCTCAGCAAGTTACAAGAGCGAACACAAAAAGAACACGATACAAGTGCAAAAAAACCCACACAGAAAACGGTAATTCAGTCGCTAAATGTAAATAAATAATCAACGCACTGAAGTCAACTTCCCTTCCGCCTCCCTTGAGCGAGGCTGTCAACCTTCTGAATGGAAGCTGCTCCCCCTAACGCTCAGTGGTTTAGTCGGGATACGCGGTACAGTACGGAATATTAACTCCCATTATAATCAGGGCGGAGGGTTCTGGGCACGTTGAACGAAACTGGTTTGTCCTGTGCACGTGTAATGCTAGAGTGAGTGGGTGGGTGAATGGGGGGGCGGTTGAGTGATGGTAATGGTGATGATTGAGCAATGTTAGGGAGTGGGGGGGGGGGGCACACGCGTGCTGTTGATGTAGGGTGGTGATGGGTGGTTTATGGGGTGATGTTGTTGTGAATCATTCGGATTCACGATACTATTTTTATGTCGTTCATTCGCATCGTCAGCGTCGTCGTCGTAGTCATCGTCAGTCATGATCAAGCCACTGCTGGATGAAGGCCTCTTCCGTGCCACGTGGGTCATTCGCGTTCTTTGACCATACTTCACCACGCCGGTCAGTGCGTTTTGGTGAAAGGGGGGATTCTGCGATGCCACTATTCACCGAGCTCTCGCCAGTACACGAACTGATTTAATCGCTCCGTCTCCTTCGGCTGGACGTCCCATCCGTTCCCTGAGCTGCAACTCCGTTATTATTCTAGACCGCCAACCACCATCATAGCCGTGACGCCCAAATCCACTTCTCGTAACACTGTAGTTTGGATCATGTCTGTAGCCTGCCCTGTGTTCTCTGAAATGCACGTGTTCCTCTTTTCTGTTTCCCAATGCACTTCCGATACGTGTCATCCCAATTGCAATGTGTCAAGCACATCAACACCGGGGAGACAAGAGGCAGGCCGGTGCATGGTATTAGCAAAACAAAATTCAAGGAACGCGTTTAACTCTCATCCATCGCAAGCTGAAAAGTGCTGCGTGTTGCTGGCTGTTTGGCGCATTTGGACCTCTGGGTCTGTGTTCAGGAGCAGTGATGGAACGCAAGACGAATCAACATCCCTTTGAGAGCGCGTGTCGTTATGGCCTTCGAAGGTGCTCGCTAACTGCACTTGCCCTCAATAACAATCGCAGGCAATACAGGGGGCCTTTGTCTTTGTTTTGGTGGGGGGGGGGGTGTTTCGAGTCTCGTGGGGTGTCAGGCGTGGCAGTGCTGTTGATGTGGGGAGGGAGAAGGGTGACAGTTGTGAGTGTGTGTGTGCGTGCTTGTGTGTGCATGCTTGTGTGTGTGCGTGCTTGTGTGTGCATGCTTGTGTGTGTGCGTGCTTGTGTGTGCATGCTTGTGTGTGTGCGTGCTTGTGTGTGCATGCTTGTGTGTGCATGCTTGTGTGTGTGTGTGCGCCTGTGTGTGTGCGTGCTTGTGTGTGTGTGCATGCTTGTGTGTGCGTGCTTGTGTGTGTGCCTGTGTGTGTGCATGCTTGTGTGTGTATGTGGGGAGCGGTAGTGTAGCGGTTAGCGCGCTGCGCTACAAACCCGGCGACCCGAGCTTGATTCCCACTAACGGCCAACACCAGTGACAATTATCTGAATCGGTTCTGGGCCACGCCTAGGTCGACTCAGCCTCAAATGAGTACCTGGTGCGGTGCGTAAAACATCGCCACTATGGAGACACAAAGGCGGCCGGGCGTGGTGCTGGCCACCCACCCCCTCGCGTGCCGTTCTGGCCTTCATAGGTGCTCGCTAACAGCACTTGCCCCAACAGTCTGTGCCAGCCTTTACGGGGAACCTTTGCCTTTGCGTGAGTGTGTGATGGGGGGGGGAGGAGGAAGAGGAAGAGAAGAAGTGTGGTGGGAGGGATGCGTGTGCGTGTGTGCGGTGGTAAAGGCGGTGGGGGGTGGGGGAAGGGAGAAGGGAGGGTGACTTGGGGTTAGTTTAGCAATGTGGAGATTCAATATCCAATGGGGAGAGCTGCTGGCTATGCATGCCCGTATAAGGAGGTATTTATGCAGCCTCGTAAGCCCGGTCGCCTCTTTAAAAGCGCGTGCGACACAAAGCCGCATCACCCAGCGCTCTTCCCACTCGATCCGCTCGCACGGACCTGCCGCACCTACTTCTCATCACGGTGAGACGCCAAATCTGAGCCGCTCCCTTCTCTCGAATGCCTAAATTGCCTTGCGACAATCGTTTTGCCTGTGTGTTTTTATTATCATTCCAAGTCCGCTTGCTGCTATGTGTCGGATTATATCTGGCCCGTCTGTCGGATTATCCGTCCTAATTATACCTGCGTGTCTTTCTCTCTGGCTGGCTATCCGTTTGGCCATCCGGCTTCTCGGTTCGATTGTCCTGTCTGCTCGCCTGCCTGAAATGATTTTTGTTTCTTTTCCCGATTGAATTGCGTCTGGTGTAGTGTTATATTTCCGTCTAAACGCGTACGCATGCAATTGACGCTTTCTAAAAGATAAACGTTCTTAACTCGCTCGATTTAATCGATGAAATCTTTCGTCCGGCTTCTTGCATTCCATAAAAATCGGTGTTCTGATCGAACGAGTGCATCGGGAACGCGTGAAAATATATTTGCTGCTTATCCTGCGGCTAGCGATGATGGCAGCCCACGATTACGCGAACGCTAAGTGATGCCCCCACTTAAATATGCCGATGAAACCGTTAAATCTTTCGATGGCCGCTTGCGCAACTGCCAATGCCATAGCAATATCAGCAGCAGTTGCTGCTGCTGCTGATGGCGACGATTGTGAAATTGATGAATTCTGGTGCCACGCGGTCGGTGTGTCCGTGAAGGGCACCCAGCCCGGGCGCCTCCCGATTGGACGGATTCTGTGCGCAGTGCAGATGGCACCGAGCGCGATTACAATGCCGGTCACGTCTCCGTGCCGGGTGGAGGAGCCGCTCGCTTGCTCCCTACAGATGTGGGGCGGGGGGGGGGGCGCTGTCTCCCCACCCATCCACCCAGCCCCCCAGCCTCGCCCTACTCTCCCTGCCAACCCCAGAGGCAGACATGCCCTCCCCCCACCATCTTTATTCCGGTAACCAATAGCCAGGACTTTGCTTCCAACCGTTTTTTTTCTTGGCAAATATTGATTTTGCTGGACTCCAAACCTCACCACTCCACTCCACCCCATCCCCCAGTAACGGTGAATTTGTAAGCCCCGAAAGCCAGACGGATTATGATGGTTGCTTGTGGTGAGACCGTGATGGCGGTCCATTTTAAATTTTTTTTAAAAAGACGTGTCGACTTTGTGCCACGAAGGTGAGACTTGGAAGGCAGATTTTATGGCGGTTGTTTAGACGATGGAGCAGACATTGCTACTTGCAATTCGAATCTAGCAGAAGGAAGTAAAGGCGAAGAAGGGGTGGGGTGGTAATGATATCCGCTACCAAATTCGTCTGTTAATGAAAGCCACCAATTATATTGTACGAACCTTCAACGGCTCTACAAACCTCGATCCGCCCCAGTTTCGGGGCGTTGTTCGTGGTTGTGCAACAATAATAATCAATATAAAATGTTAGGAATGGGTTTTGGGTTTGAGTTCCGCTAATGAGATCCATAAGCTTTTTTTTTTTGAGCCTCAAGTGTTGGGGTGGGTTGGGGTGGGGGGTGTTCCCCTTCGACGTTTCGGGCGTGGCTGTGACCCATTGTTACCATATAAGGGCACAACGAGACGCTGCGCTCCCATTGGCTCACGGCTCTGCGACCGCACCCCAAAGCTGCTCGATACAAAAATTGAACCGCGTGACCACGTGGGAGGGTTTTCTCCATTTTGTGCGTTTGCCTATTCATTCGTGTTGGGGGTAAAGTATTATTGATCGATGTTTTAATTTAAACGTCTTTTGTGGGGGATTGCGATGCTGTGGCGATGTCGGTGTTTAACAGATGACAAATTATCCATGCCGTGTAGACTTCGGAATCTATATAAATGGGTGACGTTTTGAACAGTGGCCCTTGATACTTCGAGAAGCCTAATAATTAGATATGTAAAATAAAATCCCATTTTTACCAAACGAGAGTTAATTTAAATAGTTGGGCGAATTTATGATTATTAGTAAATGCTTTTCACCACGGGGCGTTGACGTTTATTTAGTTCGGTCGACGGTATTGTCGTGTAACTATATACGAGGGGGCTGATTATTATAATTCGAACAATGCCGTTCCGCCGATTATCGGGTTCGATTATTCGACTCGTTTGGACAACACGTGACGTGGTGGGCGGGGCTTGGTGACGTCACCACTGGGCGTCGCCTGGAGGCGGTTTCCCGCCCTTTTGTCAAGGCCCCCCGAGTAGTCGACCACGAGTTGGTGGACTACGATTTTTTTTTTAAACGAAATAATTCCAGCTGTAGATTTTGTTTTATTCGTGCTCCCACCGGTGTATACATCAAATACGGCATGTGATAAAAAAAGCTTTACGCATTAATCGGTGATGTTTCCTTTTTTTTAAAGGAAATCTAAAATAACTGCCGCTAACCCTTTTGCTCATGGTGGCCGTTTATAAATTAAATATATTTAAAGTAGCGATTGCAACTTAATGGTTAGGTCGTCTAATCGCCGGGTATCATTCGTTAACACCATAATTGCTTCAGTGTACAGTGATTTTTAAACAGTGCCGTTTTTTAGTATGCAAATTTATCATGTGATTTCTATTTTTTTAAACAACCTCTTGAGTTTAATCGGTATCGTGTAGCCGCTTGCCCGGTGGTTACAAACTACATCGGCAAATTAGTTTATATCCACAGGCATGAAAACTGGATTTTAAAAAAAGTGCATTATACCGATTCCGGCAACCCGAGTTCGAATCTCACTCGCGGCCAACATCGGTGACCGATTATCTGACCAGATCCTGGGCCTCCACTGGGTTGACTCGGCCTCAAATGAGTACTCAACTCGAGCAATGTGCCAACAACATCGCCAGTAGGCAGACGGGAAGTGATGGCCACCCACGCCCTCGTGTGCCGGCATTCACAGCTGCTCCCAAACAGGACTTTCACCAATAGCCTTAAGTCTATGCATGGCATCTTTGCGTTTTTGGTTATCCATCCATTTGCAACAAATGCTTATCATGTTTTCCATTGTGTTTGTGTCCACACAGCTCTTGTGGTTAGCACCGATCAACCGGCACTATGATGGACGATGAGATCGCAGCGCTCGTGGTGGACAACGGCTCCGGCATGTGCAAGGCCGGCTTTGCCGGGGACGACGCACCCCGTGCAGTCTTCCCATCCATCGTGGGGCGACCCCGCCACCAGGTGAGGACTCTTCCTCACCCCCAAAAATCTGGCCTGCTGGATTGCTCCCTCGCCCAACCAGTCCACCCACTAAGTGCCCTTGCTGCGAATTAGCTCTCACACGCCCAGCCACGCACTTTCTCTCGCCCATTCAACCATCCGCCCACACTTGGCAAACTCGCACACTTAACGCTGAACCCCACCCGCCAGCCTACACACGCTCAGGCATGTGCATGCACAGGCACTTTCACGCCGTCACCAACACTTACTCCCTCGCCCCATCCACACACATTAATTTGTCCACCCACTTAGCCCACACACCCCATGGTCCATGCGCCTACACTCTCAGCCCCCAAGACTTTCCTCTGCAATTTTGAAGGATGCCAGTTTGCCCGCAACATCTGCATCACTAAAGTTAAGCAGCTTCCTGGTGCACGTATTTGATTCTACTTTAACTTAAATCGACAAATTCACCTTTTGTAGACCCAGCCCCTTCCGCCTTAGGCGCTCCACCCCTTCCTCGGGTACCTGCCCATGCCCTTTAGACCCCCTACCTCTCCTCGGACAGGGTTTGGGTTGTGGGTGTACAGCAGTGGTAGCGGTGAGCAGGGCACATAGGGCTAGAGGTAGGATGTCTTCAAAGACCACCAACCTCCACTTTAGAGCGGCAATACAATAGCTATAATAAATTATAATCGCTCAATGCTCCACCCTCTGCAGAACGCCCCGGTATCCCCATGCATCAAATCCAATTCCCCAAATACCCTCAAACGCTTCTTACCCAAATCCTCACCGTGTGCGTGTCGTGTTTTCCTCCCTCCCTACAGGGCGTGATGGTTGGCATGGGCCAGAAGGACTCGTACGTGGGTGACGAGGCACAGAGCAAGCGTGGTATCCTTACCCTCAAGTACCCCATCGAGCACGGCATTGTCACCAACTGGGACGACATGGAGAAGATCTGGCACCACACCTTCTACAACGAGCTGCGCGTGGCACCCGAGGAGCACCCGGTCCTGCTCACTGAGGCCCCCCTCAACCCCAAGGCCAACCGTGAAAAGATGACCCAGGTGAGCCCAGGGGAGTTTTTGACTGGATTGACAGTGGTACCAGGGGCCGTCCTGAGGTTCCCCCTGGTAGGCCCAGATGAAGAATGCAAGGTGGCAAATAGCCCATTTTTTCATACGCCCACTTTTGGCAGATCCCAGGTCTCCCTTTGAATTGGCCGATCAGCAATTATTCTTTGCCACGAAAAGAATGCTATGTAGGAACTACCCTGGCCTATGCCCTCCACATGGATGCTCCGGGTGTTCCCTACTGCCATTTTTTGTGGCCTTTCTAGGCTTGCAAAATGAGGAGTTTTGTCATAGTTGGACGCAGGCTTTGTGGGCAGTACTGTGTAGAGCTTCCATGCTCCTGCGTTGCCGTCGCCAACTCCCACTGAGCAGCGTGATGGAAGTGATGAACCCTAACATGATTATGAGGAGGCCCTCATCCAGCAGTAGATCGGGCAGGGGGCTGTGTGCAGACCCATCCGCAACTGATCATTGTTCTTGTTCCTTATTACCTCTTTGGGTCTCTGCAGATTCCAGGCTGACTGTGGCCTACCTTTCTACATCAAGGTTTCATTTTCCCCACTTTGATTTGCCTGCTGTTGATTGTTCAATGTTGTTTGCCTCCTTTGTTTGCCGTGTGCATCCATCTCCTTTAACTTTACTCGTGCCCTTCTCCTCGTGTGCGTTTTGTCATTCTCTTGACTAACCTCGAGTGGACGGGACCTTGCTGTGAACAATTGCAACGTTTGTGCCTCCGATCTTGAGGGTGGGGGGGGGGGAACTACGTTACGCATGGGTTTTGCAAATTGCCCAGTAATCTAATGTCATTTTTTTTAACTCCGTCACATGTTTTGGACTTGGCCGGCTGTCGGCACTCGCAAAAACTTTAATTGTACAGTCTAAAGTCTTTTTTTTTTAGCAGAAGGAACCGAACGGCCTATAGTATTGATCATTATTTATTTACAACCCGAGGCTCTGCTGATGAGATGCTGCATGTCGAAACCGGTCCAGAGTTTTGCTTGCTCCTGAAATGCACTCCCATGAAGCGGTATAAGAAAATCCTTTATAGATTTTTGTGGCGAGATATGTGAGGAGAGCCGTGTTTGTCTGCTTTTTCCATCTTGTTCTCCACAAATGACGCTTGATTTTTTTACAGTTAATTTATAACCAATAGTTTGAGCCGTTTAAAAAAAAATCAGTTTTTTTTTTTAAACCGACAACCCAGCGTGTTCACAACGACGCTAACAGCAGAGTTGTCTCGCCACCTGGTGGACACGGTTCGGCATTGCACTAAGGAAATCAACAGCACAGTCAGGAATTTACTTGGCCGGTATTTATCCAGGAAAGCCATTGAGTCGTAGGACTTTTTATCAGGCGAGTCCTACTGCGTTTGGGTTTTTTGTAATTTGAAGGTGTTTTTCGGCCAATCCGTGAGTTCGTACAACGTGGGAGGGAAACCTCGGGCAATCAACCTGCCTGGCGGAGGACCAAGCCGAACAGGACGTGGGGGCTTGCTGACGCCGTTCAGTTTCGTCGACGTCGTAGTAAATTTGCGACCAAAAACTCGTACGCTGATCTCGATCAATTTTTTGCGCATTCTAACAAAGGTCTCCTCTCTCTCCTCCCTCCCCCACACAGATCATGTTCGAGACCTTCAACACCCCGGCCATGTACGTGGCCATCCAGGCCGTGCTGTCTCTGTACGCGTCCGGCCGCACCACCGGCATCGTGATGGACTCTGGTGACGGCGTGTCGCACACGGTGCCCATCTACGAGGGCTACGCGCTGCCCCACGCCATCATGCGCCTCGACCTGGCCGGTCGCGACCTCACCGACTACCTGATGAAGATCCTGACGGAGCGCGGCTACTCGTTCACCACGACGGCCGAGCGTGAGATCGTGCGCGACATCAAGGAGAAGCTCTGCTACGTGGCGCTCGACTTCGAGCAGGAGATGGCCACCGCCGCGTCGTCCTCGTCGCTCGAGAAGAGCTACGAGCTGCCCGACGGGCAGGTCATCACCATCGGCAACGAGCGCTTCCGCTGCCCCGAGGCTCTCTTCCAGCCGTCCTTCCTCGGTGAGCTGGGCCTTCAGGCCGGCAGTGGATGGAGTTTGTGTGTGCCCACTAAACCCCCCTGCTCCCCTCCCCTCCTATTGCTGGTCTCATCAGAGCTGTAGATTTTGATGCCTCCCAAGCAAGGAAAGCGAGCTCGGACCCTAGAGCAGTTCCAATTTGACTTGGTGGACCACATGAGGCTATGACATTTATTTTTTTGCGCTGCGTTCTCGAGTCTCAACCCTGCTTGCGTGTGTCCTTCCCCGTCTCTCGCCACACAGGCATGGAGTCTGCCGGCATCCACGAGACGACGTACAACTCGATCATGAAGTGCGACGTGGACATCCGCAAGGACCTGTACGCCAACACCGTGCTGTCCGGAGGCTCCACCATGTACCCTGGCATCGCCGACCGCATGCAGAAGGAGGTGACTGCCCTGGCGCCCCCGACGATGAAGATCAAGGTACTACTGACCCCTGACCCCTGGAGACTCGTGCTGGGGATGTGGGGGGCTTGATTCCATTCTGTGCACCGGGAGGGGGGGCCCAATGCCGATCGATCGCGTGGCTCTCTGCTGCAGTACCACTCCACGTACTTGTCTGCACCTCTGTGCCCAGCTGGTCCCATCATAAGCAACGTTGCCGTACACCCCCCCCCCCTCCTTGCATCTCATTCTAAACGGTGGCGAGAATCCCGAATGTGCCGATTGGACCAATCGCTAACCGCTGCTTGCCGTGCCGCTGTCTCTTTCTCTCGCAGATCATCGCTCCCCCCGAGCGCAAGTACTCCGTGTGGATCGGAGGCTCGATCCTGGCGTCGCTGTCCACCTTCCAGCAGATGTGGATCAGCAAGCAGGAGTACGACGAGTCTGGGCCCTCCATCGTCCACCGCAAGTGCTTCTAGACGGGCACCGCCACAGCGGACCAAAGAGCCACCCATCCTGTTATTTCCCCCCCCCCCCTAATCTCTCCAAACGCAACGCCCCCCCCTCACCCGCTCCATCCCCCTCCCCCTTTGGCCCCCGGCACCCAATTTGACATTGTGACGGGAAAAAAAAACTTTCTGCCGAAATGGTTTTTTCGCTTTTGCTTTTTAAAGTGGGGGGAAAAGTGACAACCGCAGATTTGGTGGAAAGTTGGTGGCTGGCGGTTTGGCTGCCGTTTTGAGGGTTTTTCGTCTCTGCCAAAAAATGTTACTGGAAACTGCCCTTTCCACTGCCCCACCCCCATCGTATCCCCTCTACCCACTCCTGACAATGCCAGCAGATCGTGGTAGTCCAAATCAACTCGCTGCTTTTTTTAAATGTGGGCGGGGGGGGGGGGTGTTAGGGAGGCCTGTTGGAGATAGGGTTGCCACCTATCCTGGTTTAAAAACAAATCTTTACCAGGACCATTGATCCATTTTATGGGTTGGGGGTGGAGTGGGGTTGGTAGCAGTCCCCGGAACATTAAACGTCCAGGTTTGTCGGTTGCATCGCAACCAACAACGCAGCACTCTGTGACGACACATCCACGTGCAGCGTTGATGCGCTTATTATTCTTCCTCCCGTGGTGTACCCATCCTGGTTGGAACCCGGGAGGTGGCAACCCCTAGCGAGCGTGAGAGGAATGGCGATGCCAGCTGACGATGACCGATCATCAATACGATTTTTGTAAAGCTGTGTCTTTGTTTTATTATCTGTTATTCTTATTTGTTATTATTTGAATTAGTATTTAAGTTGTAGTAAATGCAAATTCATCTCCCTGTTGAATGTTTATGAACCTGCTGTTTGGGCAACGTCACGCATAGCCAGGGCTGCCCAGAGGTTCATGGGGGTGGGGTGAGGTTTGGGGGTGGCAGTGCCACTTTAAGGGGGAGGCCCCTTTCAAGAACCAGGGGGGCAAATTGCCCCCCCCCCTCCCATCCACTGAGCAGCCCTCTGTAGGTACCCCCCCGCCCGACTGTCAATGTGAGCAGCTCCAAATTTGTTTTATTTTCTTGGTTTTTGTTTTGAATCCTAAAAAAACCTGATGTACATTTTTGTAGCCGAAAGTTATTTTTTGTTACTCGCCTTTAAACGTGTATTGTAAAATTTGACTGCGGAAACCATGAGATTCTTTGTCTGACCAATGCTCCAGTGCATGAGACTATGCAAATTGTAAGTTGGAAATAATAAACGTTTGCAAAGATTTACGTTGCGTGTTGTGAAATGGTGTGGGGAGTTGAAGTCTTGTGGTTGTCATGCTGCACTACAAAACCATCGACCCAAGTTCAATTTCCACTCGTGGCCACCAACGAAGTGGTGGCTTATCTGAACTGGTCTTGGGCCTCTTCGTGGTTGACTACCTTCATGAGTACCTGATGTGCCTAAACATCCCCATTTTTTTAAAATAAGTGGCGAGGTATCGTGTTGGCCACCCACTGTGCTGTGCCGGCCTTCATACGTGCCCATTAACAAGCACTTGCCCTAAGGCTATATGAGGAATCGATCTTTATATTGGTGGAATCTGAGCTAATAAAGCTTTTTTTCAGATGTCCAGTTGGGGGCGGATTGAAAAGTTACAACAACAATACAAAAACACGATAGGAGTGCGAAGTATATAAAGGGTAAGCACGTGGGTGTTGCCTGAGAAAATATTTTAGCGACATCTATTGGCTTTTTCACAAGTGACCCGGCCACAAATGATAGCTCTGAGCTTGTCATGTGGGAATTCATAGCAGCCATAGTGGGTCGGCATAAATATTGAAGTGTACAGACACTAACTGCACCAGAGGTGCCCACACTGCCAGGCTGTGAAGAGCAAGGGAAATTATTGGACAAGGTGGGAGCCATTTCATCCCTTGCACCGTGGCCCATTTGAGGCCCACTGCCATACACCCATGGATATAAATGGGCACCCGCAGGCGTGCATTGAGACCCATAGGTTTCCTTAAAGCACAAAATACTTGTGCACATTGCCAACGGTTCGTATGGGGATCCAGAAACTTGTACAGGAACTCGACTTCCTAACTTTCAGAGATGCGAGAAAAAAACCTGTTCATGTTCAACTGCCTGTTCGGATCAAGAGTCGTAAGTTCAACCGCTGCACAATAGATGGTGGTGGCATCTTCATCTGCAGAACGTGAAGAACCAGTGGCATCTACATTGAGATTAATTACACAACGTTTAAATCCATTGTGTTTCGTGTGCATGCCGTACAACGTGTTTGGAATCGACAAGAGTAAAGTTGGACTTTTGCACATGCTTACAGATGCCCACAGACTTGCGCCAATACTGACGTGTGTATATAGCCACGAACGCCCATCGATTTGCTTAGACCCAAAGACTTGCTTTTATGGTGACTCGTATGTTTGGACGGTCGCAAGGCTATCGATTGGGACGGGTGGTGCAACTGACCCGGGGCTGTTGAGGGGCAGGTCCCACACTACAAAGATGGGGGGGGCGAGGGGGTACATTTCATTCCTTTCACAAGGGGCCCATGTGTTGGTGCACTTCCGATTTGCACGGTTGGCTATGTACGGTGCGAAAGAAGTTCAACATACGTGCGGAACGTAAGATGCAGAGCAATGAACGGTAAGGCAAGCCCCCCACCCAACCACCACTTTTATATCCTTCTCAAAGATGGTTTAATCGCCTCTTCTGATATGGTGCATTCATTGCATACAATTAATGGAAAGGCAACCACTGCGTGGCTGCAGTTGTGATACGAGCCATCATTGAAAACATTGACAATACATCATCAACATCGTCACCACCACCACCAATCTCAGCAGGGTGGAGCCTGGATCGTCTGTGGCTGAGTGATAGCCACGCCTACACAGGTGGTAGAGGCCTCTATCCGAGCCACGTGCTGGCCAACGCAGGTACAGTTTCAACAACAAAATATCAAAATCTTAATTTGAAGCTTTCGTGACTGCAGGAATCCATACTCTTTGGTTCTTTCGGTAAAGTCACGTAGGTATAAAATAAATCACGACGTTTCGGGCGCAACACAAGCGTCCGTCATATTTTCCCACCTGATGATGGACGCTTGTGTTGCGCCCGAAACGTCGTGATTTATTTTATACCTACGTGACTTTACCGAAAGAACCAAAGAGTATAAAAATATCCAAATGTTATACTGTACTGTGCGCCTATGCTCTATGGCACTGGTTCTTAACCTTTAGTTGAGCCTTGCACCCCTTTGGTTCCCAATCGTTAACATGTTATAATGTTAATACAAACATAAGTTTCATGAAACAAAGTAGTTGTACCTACTTGTCCGTGCTTAATTTGTGTTTGAATGATTTACTTTTTTTTAAATCTTCCCACGTCTCGCATCCCAAGGAAGGGCATCTCGCACCCCCCAAGGGAGTGCGTGCACCCCCAGGTTAAGAACCATCACTCTGTGGGTTCCCCTTAATATTACGGCGCTTGGAGGTTGATTGTCGTCACTCAGAACGGCGTCAGTGTCAAGTTCTGTATTGCTTTCTCGAGACGTGTTGCCCTACTTATATACGTTGTTGTATAATGCTTCAGTATGAGTTAGTTTAGTTCGTGTTAGGTCCATTGAGCCAATGATTCATTTTACAACGGCGACCCTGCCAAAAAGGCGAGGCGCGTTCAATGGGAAGGGTTTATAGGGCCTGCATGGCACGGCTGGTACCACAGGAGCCAGCACGCTCCATGGGCAGGGATGGTTTACTGGGGCTGCATTGAACAAAAAACGACATTGTCTGACTACGAGTAGAGAACTCGTTGCGGAAATGCAATGGAAAGTGACAGACAGCTGTCATTGCCACGCTCTTCTCATAATCCGTTATCTTATTTAATAATAAAATGCTAAGATAATCAGTATTGTGAGGTTTGTTTTTCCATGATCTAGGATTTAAATAATAATATTCTGGGGAAAGAATTACATGAATAGGAGCACAAATTGAAACGTAAGGACAATTGTAAATTAACCGTGGCAAGTTGTCTGTGTTCGTTACCCCCGTTTCTTCCGTGTTCCTATCCAGTACATGTCGTCCGAACTTGTTTTTCCGCCAATTTAATTCAATGCAATGTTTATTTCTTAAACGGATAATTCCGTGTAGCCAGTTAGGGGCCGTCCATAAATTACGTCACGCACCTAGGGGGGGGGGGGGGTTAGACATTTGTGACGATGTGTGACGAGGGGGGGGGGGTTGAGAAATGTGGCGTCACATCAAAATGCGCAACTTTAAATAATTATATATAATTGTTATAACAACACTAATTGTTATAACAACACTCCGACAACATCAGAGTGCAGCGCCACATTAAATACGCACTACAATGACAATAGTTAAGCGATTTGAGGCAGGTTTTATTTTCAAAATGGAAATATGGTTTTGGGGGGGGGCAGAGCTTTGTGACGTCATATTTGAGGGGGGGGGTCTGACTTTTTGTGATGCCGTGTGACGAGGCGGGGGGGTAAAACATCGTCCAAAATCGCGTGACGTCATTTATGGACGGCCCCTTACCCAGCTAGTTCCGGTGGCAACGGCCGGTAGCCACTGACAACAGAGTTATTGTTGCAGTGGAGAAGAGCCCAGCCAGCAGCCAGCCATGAAACTCGAGGCATAGATTATTTTGATTAAAACCAGAAGTATATGATGACTAATACATAGTAATAATAATATGTAACACGTCAAACTTCAGACCACGCAGCGGAAATTCCGAAAACATCACCAGATTTTTCCAAACGTGCGAGTCGCCATTATGTTGTCGTGGGACATTTGATTTCACGTTTGACGTGCAACTCTTGTCACCAAAATTAAATGTGACATTTGACTTTGCGAGTAATTCTCGTTAGGTCGGTCTTGTCTGTACTCACTCGTCCGATACAGTGTCCAGCACACACAGTCGTGTTTCTCCATGAGCCTCGGAGCAACACGAAGGGAATCTCAAATACGGGATTCTCCAGATTGTAGAAAAAAGTCCCAGGAAGTAAAACGCGCTCCAAACTTGTGCCCGGTGTCAGTAAAGTTACACGGATCTGGCATGCACGCACATACACATTACACAACCCCGGTTAAAAGACACAGCTCCAACTTTTTTGGGTAAAAACACAGGATTGATGATCTATAGCACTCACCAATTCACCGAAGTCACTCGCTCATCGGCGGTCAGGCTGGATTGTGTGAGGAGCTCACAAATCCTTGAAAGATCTAGACACATTCCCACCAGTGAGCTCCTCCGGCGGGCAAGGCTGCGTTGTCTGGGTCATGTAGCCCGCATTCCCAGCCACCGCATGCCCAAGCTGCTTTTGTTTGGCCGGATAGAGGGGGCTAAACGGGCGCGACACGAGTTGGAAAAGAAATTGACTGCTACGGCACAGGAGGATGTGGAGCTGAGTGGACATGCCGAAAACTGATACCAGCGCTGTCAAGATCGGCCTCTATGGAGGAGGCTCGTGAAGGACGCTGCTTCTGGCCAGTTGGAGGAAATCGCCCTCCAACAACAATGGAGGGCAGAGGAGCGACGCTCACAACAACGAGCCGAGCGCCGGGCGGATAAAATCCAGCAAGTTGGCACAAATAGGGAGCACAGCTGGTGCATCTGCCAGTCGTCTCAGTCAGTCAACCCGTGGCACCTGGGTCTGTCCAAGTGACCTCCTGTCAGCAGCGAGCATTCGACACTTCACGTGGCCTCAGAGTGCACCTGGCCTGGCACAAGCGCCGCGGAGACGTCACCGCCAATTAGCGGCGATTGGCGGTGACGTCACCACCAATTAGCGGCGATTGGCGGCGGCTGCTGCTCCTGATTGCTGTTGGTGGTGGCCAAGGCTGGCAGCAGCGGGTTTTTTTCCATCGGGTTTTTCACGGTTTTAATAAAAATAAGTATAACCCGTAAAAACAAAGTTTTTCACTATAAATCCTTTATATGCGTGGCGGCGAGAGTCCTCTCGTCCTCTGGCTTGAGATGGCTGCCACCTATGGGTCAGATGATTGTCTGCCCCCATTAAGCAATTGGTAATTAAATATTTAATTTGTTTTCCCTAAACAGTGTAAAATGTTTGGAAAAAAATTTTCACGAACATTAATTGTCTCGCACAACGAGTCTGTGTGCAAAATGTCAGCTCGATTGGATCACGGGAAGTGGGTTAAAAAAACGACCGAAATATTTGCACGGTCGTAAGCAAGCAAGCACGCAAACACGCAAGCAAGCAAGCAAGCGAACTTAATA